TAAACCGTGTGCTAGACTATGAGACCGAGAGGTAATTAGCTCACATGTGGTAGTGGAGGAAGAGAAGAGAGTTAGTAGCTCCCCCTTCTTAAGCTAGAGGTTTCCATAGAATTTAATGCTCATAAGTTTGTTTAAAATTACATAGAAATATGATTAATTTAACAAACCAGTGAAGGATTAACTTGACTTGAGAAAGCTAGTTAATTAATTTAGGGAAATCCACCATCACATGCAATAATACTCAACAATTCGGTAATCCATAATTTATATTGATTGATTATGGTGAAATCAATGCCTTAGTACCTCCTATCTTGATTAGATTTATTTGTTATTTTCTTTTTATTATTTTCAATCAAAGTTTCTTCCTATTTGATTGTTCAAATAAATTTAGATTAATTATTTTGGTACTTAGTTAGACACAATCCTCGTGGGTTCGACACTCTATTCATCATTATATTACTTGGAGCGACTAGTACACTTGCTAGGGTGATTTTAGTGCATCAGTAAGATTACCAATAAACATCTAGTTGGAATGAACAAACTTCACTGATGTAAACCTCATTGGCCATAGCATTTTCTGCTCACTTACCTGAAAAGCTACCTGAGTAGATATTACCAAGGTCTTTGCAACTTACCGACAAGGTTGTTGTTGCATGATCTTGAAGTTATTGACAATGTTGGGAATTTCGAGCACCACAATCCCACACAAGTGGAAGCGATAAAGAAATTGAGACAATAATTTAACGTGGTTCGACTTGTACACCTCTCAACAAATCTACGTCCACGAGAAAGAGAGAAATAAATCCACTATTAAGAAAAAAAAGAGTACAATAATTTAGAAGCTCTCTCACTCAAGACGCACTTAACACCCTAACTTCAATGTATAGAAGCTCCCAAATTCTCCCTAATACTCCCTCTTAATTTACACAAGGATTTCTCACAATTTCTCTCTTTCTTTTCTCTTACAAGAGCTTTCACTCAATTTCTGTTGCTTTCTCCTACTCTTGCTTTCCCATTGCCTTTGCATGCATGGGTATTTATAGTGAAAAATCCAACCACCCATGCACCATTTTTCTCTACCTCATTACCACCCGGCCAAGATTTTCTTTGCCCATTAAATGGCTCAACATGCAATCTTGCATGATTTCAACAAAGCAATCCTAGCCCACAACTAGCTAGGTTGGTGAAGCAAACTTCCACACAAAAAGTCCATGGGTTCACACCTGGGGTTGGACTTTCTTCCAACAATCTCCCCCTCCAACCCTATGGGAGGAGAAACCAACCATGAGTCCATACACTTCAACATTCCATAATTTTGCTCCCTATGCTCAGGAACACTTCATCATGGTGTTCTATTTTTGAGAGTTTCCTCCTAGTATAGGATAGGACAAACCTACACTAGATGCGCTACAGAAATTAATTTTGAACCAAGATATGATCCGAGGGAAAATCACACCTCCTTGAACCATCACCAAACACCACTTCATTGTTGAAGCTCACCTTCTTCTTGGTCATATTAATTTCCTTACCATTTACCAACATCCCTTTAGGCTTCCACACCATCTTCCTCATGGTTTTGTTGAGCCTTCTCTCAGGATGTTGCTCAAGCACATAGATGTTGTGCTTGTTCTTCCTCCCACGCAAGACAAGTCTTCCACCTTTGTAGACCTTGCACCATTCTTGTTTTCCGACATACTTGCACTCTCGTGTTGTCAACTCACTCAAAGCAATAATGTTGCTTGAACACTTGGGCACATATCTCACATTCTTGAGAATCTTGGCTCTCCCATTGTGAACATTGAGACAAACATCTCCTATGCCTTCAATATTCACCTTCTCGCCGGTAGCCATTGTTCTTTTGCCAAGCTCCCCCCCGAACCAAACTCACAAATTTCGAAGGATTATTGCACACATGCATGGTTACAGCAGAGTCCAAAATCCACCGTTGATTGTTTTGCTCCACCTCAGGATCACACTCTTCACAAGCTAATACTTCAACCATATTTTCTTCAACAATATTAGCCTTTCCCTTGCCCTTGGTTTCTTGACTTTTCATCAATATTTTCATATTAGAAAAGTCCTCCTTAAACTTTGGGTATTTATATTGTTTGTGACCCAATTCACCACAATAAAAACACTGCACTTCACCATAATCCTTCTTAGGTCTAGATTTCGACCTTGATTTCCTCCACCTCCACGTCCATTGGATCTTCCCTGAGAGTGCTCCATCACCAAAGCATTAGTTTGATTGGCACCATTATCCTCCCCAAGAAACTTATTATTCTCCAACAACATGGATGTGACATCTTTCATCACCAAGGTAGTCTTACCCACTAGTATGCTCTACACTAGGGACTTGTAAGACTTTGGCAAGGATGCAAGTAAAAGCAAAGCTTTTTCCTCTTCTTCTAGAACATCCCCGGCATTCACTACTTGTGTCACCATCATGTTGAAATCAGATAAGTGCCTATGAATATTAGTGCCTTCTCCATCTTCAATTGATATAGCTCCATCTTTAAACACAACCGATTGGTTAAAGATTTTGAAGCATATATCTCTTCAAGTTTCTTCCACATGCCTATTGGAGTAGTCTTTGAAAGGACGTTGTATTTCACCTCCGGTGCAAGCACCAGTCGAATTTGACTTGCTGCCTTCTTTTAGATAGTACTCCAATCACTATCCTTCATCTCAGCTGGCTTGGTCTCTTCTAAAGCTGCATCAAGTCCTTGACAAGTAAGGACATCCTTCACAGTGCTTTGCCATAGAGCAAAGTCATTCTTGCCATCAAATAGCTCAATTGAATACTTCATGGCTTCAGTTTGCATTTTGTCACAACACTAGGAGCTCTACCAATAGCTCTGATACCATTTGTTGGGAATTTCGAGCACCACAATCCCACACAAACGAAAGCGATAAAGAAATTGAGACAATAATTTAACGTGGTTCGACTTGTACACCTCTCAACAAGTCTATGTCCACGGGAAAGAGAGAAATAAATCCACTATTAAGAAAAAAAAGAGTACGATAATTTAGAAACTCTCTCACTCAATAAGCACTCAACACCCTAGCTTCAATGTATAGAAGCTCCCAAATTCTCCCTAATATTCCCTCTTAATCTACACAAGGATTTCTCACAATTTTTCTCTTTCTTTTCTCTTACAAGAGCTCTCACTCAATTTCTCTTGCTTTCTCCTACTCTTGCTTTCCCATTGCCTTTGCATGCATGGGTATTTATAGTGAAAAATCCAACCACCCATGCACCATTTTTCTATGCACCATTTTTCTTTGCCTCATTACCACCCGACCAAGATTTTCTTTGCCCATTAAATGGCTCAACATGCAATTTTGCATGATTTCAACAAAGCAATCCTAGCCCACAACTAGCTATGTTGGTGAAGCAAACTTCCACACAAAGAGTCCATGGGTTCACACATGGGGTTGGACTTTCTTCCAACAGACAAACCATCGTTGGTCTCCAAACTCTTTGTCCACTGCACCAGAAAAGCTGCCGAAGCTAGAAGAGAGAATATTTATGTCTTATCGACAAAAAAACACGTGTTGTGTAAATTTACCGACAAAGTCCTCCTCTGAAAGTAAAATAATATAAATTAATTTTGATCCTATTGTTTTTCACTTTATGGACTTTCTTTTTGTTGGTAAATTATTAATTTACCAACCAATCATCTTACATCTGTGGTTTTTGATTGGTGATTTAATGTTTTCTAGTAGTTTTAATTATAACTAATGATGCTCAGAGCAATCATATGGGGCCTTTGTGCAAAGATAATACCATTTGTTATTACAATAAAAATAATAATGTGACATATTGTGATTAATCAGAGATACCGGATACAGCAAAATATTTCAAATTTGGGACCTTATTCCACACTTTTACCTTGTATAAACCTGTTTGTTTTTCTGTTTGTCCCATACGATTTTCAATTTCAAAACTCAAATAATTTCAAACAATGTTATAACATGTTTGTTTTTCTGTTTTTCCCATACGATTTTCAATTTCAAAACTCAAATAATTTCAAACAATGTTATAACCAATCCCCAATGTTCTATCTCGAGTCATGGTATTCGCCAGCTCAAAGACTCAGTCACCGTCAACTAAAGTCACTCCTCTCACTAAAATCCAGTTCGTCAAATGTGATTGCTACCGCTTTATTGAGGAATGCACTCCGGCCTACATCCTCCCCGTCCGGGAACGCTACCAAGGCTGTTAGATTTGCGACCTCTGTATTCTCCACCGAGGAAGCACTGGACCGACACATCAGCTTCTGCGAGGAGTTCAGGCCTCTTCTTCTCCTCCAACCAAAACAGAGCACCCAATCATTGCCATCAGCAGGCTACTCCATCGCAGACCCTATATATTAAAAAAAAAATTGAAAGAAAAAAAAAAAAAAAAAGAGTTTTACCAATAAACTCAAATTTGGAAAATCAGCCACCACTGTGACTAGCCTTCCTGAACCCACGATCTTCCTCTTCCAATCTCTTCTCCAACTATTACCCATTGCCCATCCCCGTTGTCTCTTCCCTTTTCTCACCTCCTCTTCTCACCTCTGGCCTAGCCCCACCACTCAAAATTTTCCCCGTTGGACTCCCATGCCCAGATTAATATACCTACTTCTTTCTTCTCTCTTCACTAAATCCCCTCCTCAATCTTCCTCTACCGCTTGCAGCAAGAAAGGAAATGTGATTGAGATGAGGGAAATGGGCAAGAGATAGGAAATCATCAAATTTGAGTTCTAAAAGAAGATGGAGGGGTCAGGGGTGTTTGGTGCTCAAATCTCAACAGAGCAAACAAACCCAAAACACCAAAAGTAAGCTCAAGCCGCAGAACCCAACTTTCTCTTTCCATGATTGACTACCAGCGACGAGAATCAATTAAATTCAGAAAAGGAAATATATCAGCACAGTAAACACTAAACACTGCAAATAAATCAACATAGTAAACACTAAACACTGCAAAAGCAGAAAGAGTTAAAAAGACCTAAAAGCCATATTCCAAGAGAGTAAAGGAGAAACAAAGCACTGAAGGCAAAACAAAGAAAACAGATTCTTTGAGAGGAGTGAAGGCCACGGACAAAAGAATTGAGATTAAGAAAATCATAGAGCCAATTCTATGCGAGAAAGGTGGAAAGAAACAGTAGAGGGCAAAACAGGAAAGTGGGAGAAAGGACAGTGTCAGCAAGAGAAAGGGCAATGAGGTGAGAGAAAGGAAGAAGAGGATAACAAAGAGGGAGAGACTCGAGTGAGGAACGGACCAAGGAGTCAACTTTCTTACTCTTTAGATTGATTGATTGACCCAAGCCCTTCCCATTTTTGAAGAAAACCCTAGCAACGTAAAAACAAGAGGAGGGTTTCCTTCAAAAAAGAAAAGGGGGTTCGGCAGCCAAAACAGAAAACGAGCAACTGAAAAAAAAAAATCTTTCTTCTCCAACCTTCA